GAGGGTTTACTGACATCAGAAAAAAATGCAAAATTTAAATTAATAAATGAGGTAAATGTAAATCTTGTGAGTTGAGCTGACCAATTTTTGAATTGCAAGAACACACAACTGATGATCATTTCAGCTCAGTCTGGAAATAGTTTATCCTAATACAAAGAGTAATATTTTGATAATAAAAGGTGAGCTGTTAAAACATGCTGACTTCGCTTCAGAGTATCCTAAGTCGAATATCTCAAGGGTTAGAATTCAAAATTGTGTTAGGGAAGTTGTCACCAAATCCCACAAATGGCAACCATCTAATTTGATCCTCCTCTTTACAAGTCAAAGAAGATCAGTCTTAGTCCACCACTTTACATCAGATGATAATGGCTAATGCTCTCTCTGCCACAATTGACAGGTAAGTATTTTCTCTTTATGCCATCAAATCCATCATGAAGCACACACACAATGAGAAGGAAGAAAAACATAACCAAGGAATAAGACAAAACATGAAACTCTCCTCACAAACATTGTAAGAAATGTAAAGGTGAAGTCTGTAACCAAGCCTATTAGCCTGCTCAGTCAGAGTTTATCTCAGTTTCCATGTAGCATGAAGCAACGAGGAGTATTACTACTTCCCCTTGGATGGGAAGCTAGTTCAATGCAAGGTTACCCCCCAGGATTTTATCAGGCTTCTCTGACATTTTGCCAGAACTCATTTAGACTCCTGGGTAGAGAGAGGTGCTGTGAGAGGAAAGTGTCTTTCCCAATAATACAATGCATTGATCCAGCCAGGTCTTGAACCCAGGCCTCTTGACCCGGAGTCCAATGCACTGATCAGTAGGCCACTGTGTCTCCCATATTGTAAGAAATGTAGGAAAGGAAATGAGGAGAGTTGATACTGGCATCATGTAACCCTTTAACTCCCATGAGTGACCAAGACAGAAATTCTCCTTACAATATCAGTACAATATCAAGCAGACAAGTGATGAGAATAAAGAAAAATATTAATTAGGGGATTATTAGTTGATCCAATACCAAATTCTCCAAATTAACATCACAAGAACTATAGGGTAGACAGTAAGGAGAATTACTTATTAGATCTTGGGAGTTAAAGGGATAAGGGAAATAAAAATACATGCTTGTACCTGCATTTATGACTGGATACCTAACAGAAGTTCCAAGTAACCTGGGCTCTTTCTTCATTAACCCAAGATCCACAAGGCTGTCAAATGTAGCCGACACACAGCTTGGCTTGTGGTAATTTGAACCTTTCAGTATCCATTTAGACACACTGCGTGGCTTGTCAGGATGTTTACGAGTGCGTTCCAACATCTGGTTGAACATACAGTTGTCTAAGTAAGAGTTTGTTGGTGTGAAATCTTTCACCTTTGGAGAAACAGAAATATAAAAATATAATTTTAAAATCAATGAATTATAAAACTCTAGGGTAGTAACAACCCCCTCCCACTCCTCCCCCCCAGCCCCATTGATGACACTATTCACACAAGTTCTTAATCAGAAAGAGGATACAAGTGCTTATGTAATGCTTGTAAACCCCCTTCCCCCCCTCCCCTCAGAAAAAAGTTGCCCACCTCAGTGAAAAGTTTTTCTGAGACATGATCGGTAATTTTTTTCAGACCTGCCCATCACCTATGGAACAACACTTTCAGCCCCCCCCCCCCGCGAAAATCTTCTGCACGACAACGATGAAGAGGGGGGAGGGGAAGGAGCGTATCGTTGGAATTTTCCGAATAATTTAGTGTACTTTACAACGTAGTTGTAATCGATATTCGAACTAGCCTTAATCAATCCTTTCTTTTCATTTGATATTCTAAATCACACAATAAAAATATAATTTTATTTTCCCTCACCTGAAGTACCATCTCCTTATACTTCACACCCAGACAGGACGCCTGTGCGTCTTCAAAACTGACTTTGCCAAGAACGTACAAGTCGATGATAACAGCTGCCGAAATATTTCCAAAATGAGGCGCACTTGCCTTCCTTCCAGGAACGTCGCCAGTCGATTGGTCATGCCATAGCAGACACAAGGCTTGAGAAATTTTAAGGTTTCTTTCCTTAAAGCACTCAGTAACGAATCGGTCCGACTGAAAAATTTCTAAAAGGTTCTCTGCCAATTTCGGAGAGTAATCTGCATCTCCGTCCGCCATACGTTTCTCGACTCAACTCGATCGATTTCACCGAAAAGATCTGTCTATTTTCTCCAGCAGCGTTGTTTATATACAGTAGCTGCCGGCGATAATTACATCACAGTTACAGATCAAGTTAAACGAGCATTTTTTTTGGCGTGGGTAGTTCAACCATGACAACAAAAGCGATATTTTTAACTCAACCTGTTTTGACCCGGTTTTCGCCATCTTGAATATAATTTTCTCAGGTACAGACCAGGGTCCAGACTCCTTGCTCTTTCTATTTTTAGATTCTGACGAAAAATTTTCAGAGCTACTCGCGAGAATCACAAGACCTAGTTACTCACAACTTTTTTTGTTACTCACGATCCCTTCGTGGCGTTAAAATTAGTTAATTTATACCCACGTTAGCAAATTTTTTTCAACAATAGTTGACACAATCAGAAAAAGGGCTTGCATCTGGAATCAATTTAGGGAAGGTAGGTTTTTTCTTGGGGGGGGGGGGGGAGGGCTGGGGCCTCAGAGGGGAGGGTCATCAGTGAAAGTGAGCACCAAAGGGGGAGGGCCATACCCTCTTTTTCAGCTATTCAAGGGGAGGGTCACACCTTTTCCAGAATTTTTAATGGAGATTTTTGTGATGTTATTTCCATTTTTCTTTAATAGACTAAGTTTTTTCTTTTCAATTTGTTTCTTTTAATTCGGTGCAGGTACTAGTTTTACAAGGTTACTGGGTGTCTACATGTATATTATTCCATGGCACATAATTTTCTAGGAGTACTCGTGTCCTTTTCCGTCCGCATCGTGACGTACTTGACTCGGGTATGGTTTCTTGTTCCAGCTTTTGTCTATCCGCTGCCTGATCTCCTGAGTCATTAGGCTCTGAAGAGCTACTGTGGTAGTGAGGGGAGGGTCACACTTTTGTCAGTCACCTAAAAGTGGGGGGTCAGGAGTTTTTTTAATAAAAACATGAGGGAGGGCCAAAGCTTTCTTTTGGAAAAAAAACCAAAATTCCCCAGCCCTCCCCCCCCCCCCCAGAAAAAACGTACCTTCCCTAATAGTCACTCCCTAATAGTTTTCTCCAGATTGTCCCCCATTAAAGAGCACTTCAAGAAGCCCAAGGTTCTCTCATTTTAAATTTTCCCCACCTCGCTCGTGTAAGAAGAAAACTGTTCGCATTTTTTATCGTTAAAAACACAGCTTTAAATTTTAATACATGCTAAAAGCAGACTCTCAACATACAACAGGTCTGCAATACGTCTAAATAACTGTTCCTTCAAGCGCTAATCATCTACGACAGAAAGCTCAGTACAACTTGGCATCTTTACGGTCTGCCATTTTGGTGGCCAATGAAGGCCAGTGGAAAAAAAATCCAAATCGACTGTTAAAGTTTCATTAGATAAAACGATCTTAAATACAATACGAGTTTCGAGAGATTATAGCATGACTATAATTTCGTCTCATTCAATGCTACGATTCTTGATTCATTATTCCACCCGCTTCTATCCATGGCCACACTTCTCCCTCCCCTCCCTTCATCTTGTGGGTTGAGAGGAGGTAATGAATTGTGTCAATAATTTGAATTTCAAAAAAGGTATTTCTGTTTTGCTGAACTGACAATAATTCAATCGTCATTAGTTACAATATACATCACAATGTAACAAATTACAACTGATTTACAGCCTACGCGTAGCCGTACCCTCCCTCCCCCCATGGTTAAACGTGGGAGGGAGGGTACGCCTATACGTGGGTTAAGAAAAGTATGACGCATACTGGCATCGGATTGGTTTTCAGGGGGATGTTTTTGATTCAAAAGATACTAGTAATGGAATTAAGTCATCACGATTGCAAGGTTAAAGGGTGGTCCGAAAGAGGAATGGTTGGCTGAGAAATGGAGCTTGATAGAACTGTAAGATTTCTTTATTGATCTTTCAATTCGATAAGTGTTTTATCCTCTGGTTTGACACACCATTACTAAAGCTAACCCTAGCTAAAGGGTTGTTTTCTTTTTCCATGACACTCCATGAATTTCCTTATGAACTGAAACAAAAAACAATTTGAACTATTGCATGGACAGGATAACTTTTCATATATTCACAGTCAATCAGAATAACTCAGTCTTCACGCTTTGTTTTCTCACTGCTTACAATGAAGCACCTAAATTGAAGAAAGTTGTCCTCTTCAACAAAGGAATCTGTCAACAAATTCCAAAATGATACTTAGAGGTAATTTCCTGACACAAATTTGAAATCAGACGTCTCGGGGTTGAAGCCAGTTTTCATTTAATTCAAAAGCCCTACGACATGAAAATTTTTGTTGACCACGAACAACAGAGCAATTTGGGACACAAAAACAGTGACTAAATCTAATAATTTCGCGTTTCAAAAGAGAGGATGCGATCACCGAGAGTTTCGCTGGAATCGCTCACGTCAAAATTTGCAAAAGTTTACATTTCTTTTGACCAAGATAAAGCACTTAAGGAGGCTGAGAATTTCCTGTGTTAAAGTAGGCAAGAAAAGGAAAAAGTTTTATTGCTTTTAATAAAAATATGGTAAAAAACACTTGAAAGCTGTTAATTGAAAAATGAATCAGGGTCACGCCCTATAAGCGATTGTGGGTATGACAACCTAGTTAAAACGATTTTCCGCCTCTAGCTCATACTGAACTCGTAAGGGAACTTAGCTTCTCTGAGATTTTCATTGCAGTTTCTCTGACGTTCAAAACTTTGCTGTGGCTCTTTGGTTGTGTAATTAATAGCGATTCAAGTGAACGTATGGTTTACTTAAATTAACTTTTTGAGTGATATGAGGGTTCATTACGAGAGAAATCAAATATAAAACCACCAATAACTTTAAGATCGCCCTGTGCAGAGTAAAATCTATCAGCCGAGAGAAGTGTAGAGGGAGAGATCGAGAAAAATGAGAACGAAAACGAAAATGCAATTCTCAGTGGGCTTCGTAGTTCTTTCTTGTTGTGCAGCAGTTTTGCGAGTGAGTAAGCTCGTTTGAAGTCACTAGTTTAGATGCTCAGATAATTTTCAATTTCAAAATCCTGAACACCATTATCATGCAAAAACGAATTGCACAACGTATGAAACAGTGAGTCTTGAGCCTGAAGAACAATTCAAAAGTCAGATATTTTTTTCCAAAACAATCAAGTCTATGCATTAAGATTACAAAAAATGATCAAGCGAACTTATACCGGAGACAAAAGTAATGTCATTTCATTGAAAACCTGATAAACCATTGGAAAAGTGCGTTCAACCGGGAAGGCCGATTTCAAATCTCTGTTCTTTATGAACACGAGCCATCAAACAGCTGAATTTTTACGGTCTAGTCACAAGAACTGAGATATTTTGTGAATTTCCTGGTAAACATTCCATTTACAAGTATTTTTTTCTTTTTTTATTAGTTTCATCCCACACAGGGGAAGAAAAGATCATTCGAAGTACTGATCAAACATCAAGGCAAAATGTTCAAGGAGGTTGTGGAAATCGATGTTAAAGGGAAAACGGAAACATTTCACGTTCCATTGCAAGGTGACCTTGAAGCAGCGGAAATCATTAATGATTTTCGTAAGGTAAGCCACTGCCCAGATGTGACATCGAAATCAGTAAAATAGAAATAGACCTCATTTTTGGTTGAGTGTCATAATAGGAAAACTAAAGAAATCACAATAACCAATCAGAAGGAAGTTAAATGTCACGTGACCGATGACAACTCACAGTAAAAACAACTTAACTACTTAAAGCACGGAAAAACGCGATTGAATGAGATTGAATTTAGTTGTGCGCTTGATTGGTCAAGAGGTAAACTAAACGAACGATTAAATATTTTAAGAACTTACGAAGTTACCTCGAGCGCTTCATTCCTCTGGTAAACCCATTTGGGCACGTTTTCTCTGACGAAGATTTACAGTGACTTGTTCCTTTCAGGTATTTCCTGATATAAGTTGAGCAAAAGAACTCAAGATGATTGTTGGCCTAATAATTTCTAAAACGGTTTTATGTGTTTCAGAAATTGATGATGATCAGCTTACCACAGAAACAAATGTGCTTTTTGACAAAGCTCACTGGCAGAGTGCCACGCCCTACCAAGATGGCCAAATCCTTTAGAAAGGTGACATACTCACTATGATTATTTTCTGGCTTATACCAAGTGAAAAAATTGAAGAAAAAAATTACTTGTGTCACACTGAAAATTCTCCTTTCTCCAGGCAACAATGGATGGTAAGGAATTTCCATTGGAGAAATTGACAATTACCATGGAAACTAAAGAGTTGATATATGACCTGGGTGATCTTAGCTACGCCATGAGGAAAATGTGTGAAGGTTTTCCTATTTACCACAGCGAGCCTGCTAAAGATACCATTTCCATCTCAGCAGTTGCTGATGAAGGTAAATGAAAAATCATATAACTATAAAGAATTAATCTGGAGACTTGTGAGTCAGTCTTGATACTGAAAGATAAGCCTTTTTAATTGGGTGGAAGGCATCAGTCAGTCTACTGGCCTGCCAGTCAACCAATCAGTTGGTCAGCCAGGCAACCAGTCAGTTGATAAGTCAATCAGTAGTAATTCAGTCAGTCAATCAACCAATGAATCAGTCAATTAGGCAGGTAGGTAAACAGGCAGTAAGTCAGTCAGCAGGCTAGTTATTCGATGACTCAACCAGTCAGCCTATTAACCATTCAAACATGCCCATATGGTATCATTTAAATGTGCTCTTTATGGCAAACTCTTGACCATAAGCCAAACCCCCCTCTTAAGCTCAAATTTTTCTTACTCTGCCTTGGATTTGTGCAAAAATTGCTCAGCTCATAGTCAAATAAAAAGAGTAGATAGTCAGTCAGTCAGTCAGGCAATCAGGCAATCCGTCAATCAGTCAATATACTAGTCCACCAATCAACCAACTGAACAATCAATGGATTAGTCAGCCAGCCACACCATAATTAAAAATGTAAGTTACTCAACCAGCCAGTTGGACTGTTTGTCAGTTTTGATTACTGAGTACCTTGCTCAATGTTTAAGCAAGTCAATCACAGAAACTGACCAATGGTTGGTCAACAAATCCCATTTGCTCTCTCTCAACTTTGTAATAGTTAAAGCTTTGCAAAACAAAATTAATTTGTATTGGTCTTCACCATGATTACTGTATGTTAATGGTTGCAATATGTTTCAGACAGGATTTCAGGTGACAATAGAAAGCCTATCCATCGGCGTTCTTGCTCCAGCTCTGTTTGTTCCACCTATCAATACTGTTACTTGACCTGTGCCTTGTCAACATGCATGGTGTGCAAAGAAATGCAAACTTGCATGCCTATTGATTGTTAAGTATTATTTTAGTTTAAACACCTCACATCCCAGCTATAAATCTGAACAAAGTGATGATGGTTTTGAAAAGGTATTAAGGCTGTAGTTTACGAGTTCTGATGGAAAATGTACTGTTTTGTAACAACTAATAAACTTTTCAGTCAAAAAATAAATTTGAAGTATCACATTGTAAAAGTCCACCTTTATCTTACCATAAAAAAATTTCATAATTTCTTGTAGAACCATTAAGATCTAAAGAAACTGACTGCATAGCCAGTGTCACTCACTCTTTATTTTTTCAAATCTGTTCCTAAATTGATTGCTTAAGAGATACACAGCAAAAACTGGGTTCTTCACTTTAGTTCAAGTAATGATGTGACGATGGTATTTACACAATGTATATACATTAAATCTAATGTGGACAAAGAGCTTGTTGATCTCTCAGACAACACAAACTAAAAACCCACAAAAGGAGAGTTATATAGCACTACAAAGAGAATGTTGCAGATGCCTGAGCAAGTCCTTGTCGCCTGAAAAAAAATCAATCAAATAACCTTAATAAAATTTACAGTTGCTACCAAAAAAACCATGTTTCCTTCAAAACTGTAATTTTTCATCCCTTACAACCAACTTTGACAAGTTCTGATGTAGTTTATTTACAGTAGCTAAAATTCTAAATAAGCTTAAACTTACGCCTCTTTCAAAAATGTCTCTGCACTGATTCTGTCCATATCACCACCAGGAGGGTCTCTATCAAACTTTTTCACACCCATTGTTTCAAGTCCTGTGCAAAAAACAATAGAGAATAAGGTGTATAAACTATCTAGATACCATATTATAAGCCTGCAGTTTAATGTGCTCCATTTATGCCACTCCCTCAAATTGGTCCTTGCTCCCTTAAACAATTTCAATTCCCAGATTTTGTTAGTAATTCTCCTCATTGTCTTCCATTTGATTCTAACAATGTTAGTTCAGAGAATTTGCTTTTGCTTTATTCTGGTTACTTTTCTGATTGATCCTGTATTGATTTTGTGTGGAGAAATTCAGTCTTGGTCACTCACAGGGGTTAAAGAGTAAAGAAGAGTGAGCTCATTTCATGAACAGCTGTTGTCTAGCAAGCATCCCAAGAAAATTAAGCAATTGCTGTAAGGTACTGATAATGCTTGCTATTAGTTTAACGGCATCAAAACTTTGCAGGATCGTGTGCAACAACATCATCCTCCTGAAAATATCTCATTGAACTTTTAGATGATTTCATTCTTTCAATACAAAAAAAAGTTTTTCTCCAAGATCCTTGGATAAAACTTTACAAATTCTATGCAATGGAATAAGGTACGATGAAATGAGTTAAACAGATATTGTAAAATAAAAGAAAAACTGACCTTGTTTGTACTGTTCATATGTAATAAAGCCTTTTCCTGTAACATCGAGCATTCCAAACAACGATCTTACGTTACTGTCATCAAATATGCACGGGTAGTTTCTCTGCATTGTTCTTGCATCTCTTAACTTCTCCAAGAATTGTTTCATGTAAGCCTTCGGGTCCTCTGTCAAACAAACATGCAGAGTTACATATACATGTAATAAAGTTCCCAACGACATATTGTTGAATATCCAAAGTCTCAAATATTTTTCATTCACATTGCCAGATTTGTTGCCAAAACATCAATCCTAAGCTGTGTAAATTATTCACCTGGTCTTTCATAGATCAACTGTGCAGTTAAGTTCTCAAATAGTTCCATAATACAATGCTTTTTAACGTATTCTTGCGCATCGTTCTCCTTGTTCGCCATATTGATTTTGCATCCTGATAAGGTTGCTATAACAACAAAGCTTTGTCAGCGGCATTTAGTCTCATGCCCAGTGCCTGTCATATAGATTGCTACGGAATTTTTATTCTCTCTCCTTCTTTCTTTTTCATCAGGTTTTTTTTTATGGAATGGCCCTTTCCCTGCAGATATACCATGTAAAATTTATATATATATAAATATATATATATATATATCTTTTTTTTTTTTTTAATCAGTACTACCGAATAATTAACGCTCGTCTTACTCGCTTATGCTCTATAATGAAACGCACGGTTTTTGCCAGCCGAGGGCCTGCCGGGATATGGTAGGATCCAGGCTCCCACATATGAAGTCCTTTCTAATTCAAGTAACAATAATGCTGTTCCCTTCGATGGGAAATTTGCATCGGTTTTTCCGTACAAATGAAAAGAGCCTCTATTATTGAAAGTAGTGTATTGTCGAAGAAATAATACAGTGCTATTATTTTAAAATGGTTGTCATAACAGAGGACATATCGCTGGGAAGGGAGAAAGTTAAAGTTTCAGTGGTAAATGAACTTGATGACAGCATACCTACCGAATTTGGGGTAATTTGTTAAGTGTACCATTCTTATTAACTAGATTAATCAATCTTGCACTTACGATCTTTCTTCTTTTCAAAAAGGAAATTGGATAATTGGTAGCTATCGATGTTGTTTTCTCTTAATTTTGTTTAAATTGTTGGGGTTGTTCTTCATAGTATACTCCAGTATGCATCAGTGGGCCAAATGTTAGTGAGGCATTTAATTCTCCATTTTATCCTGGATGTGGATGTCATCAGACAATGTGCACAAGAGACAAATGCCCCTGCATACAGAGTTATGGACCATCTTACAATGAAGATGGATGCCTTCAAATCTTCAATCGACTAACTGGTAAGTATTACAGACTCACAGAGTTCTCAAAGATCAGTGTCTTTTGGGAAGAAGTTATAATTTTATAGCTTTAATTTGACCTAAAATATTTTGAGGGTAATTAAAGGACCTTTGGTGATCTTAAATAAAAAGGATCAAGAAAGGATCTGCTAAGAGCTCTTTGAAAAAAATCAATGGATTAATGATCCTTTGAGGATTTGAAAGATCTTCAAAATGGTCTTTGCTAAGATTCTATGGATTGTAAAGATCTAAGCAGGGGAACTTGCCAGAGACACATGAGGCTAAGTTCTTTGGAAAATTCTGAATAATACAATCCAGTTTCCATGCTTAGTAATTAAAGCATTTTGGAGAATCACTACTACTCCTGGAATAGTTACTTGGGCATGACAGGCTACTCAGTGTTTTGTCTGGTTTCCCTGACATTTCACCAGGACATGTTTGTACTCTTAGGCAGAAAAAGTCACTGGGAAGGTTAAGTGTCTTCCATGCTTAAACTCAGTAACCACAGCTTATTAACCGATGGGCTTCTAAGTTTCAGACAGGAACCCAGTAAACTGTTGGTCTCATAGATAAGATAAAACTCTTTTCTCTGATAGAATGTACAGCAGAGGTAGAAATAAAGTATCTGGCCAGAAGATACTTGACTGCTGATTGTTTAAAACTCTTAAAAAAGAAGGTAGATCATGGTACTTGAGCTAAAATGCTGGTGCCAATTATTTTAAAGAATGTACATCAAGTTTTATTTTTCGTGACTTATTGTCAATAGAGTTTTGCCAACCAGTGTTTGAATGCAACAGTCGCTGTTCTTGCTCCAAATCTTGTCAGAACAGAGTGGTTCAGAACGGACAACATCTTCAACTTCAAGTTTTTAAAACCAAACTCAAAGGATGGGGCTTAAGGACTTTGGAAAACATCGAAAAATTTACTTTTGTGTGTGAATATGCTGGTGAACTTATTTCAATCAAAGAAGCTAAAATGCGGGCTCAGGAATTGACTCACGAAACTGGGAATTATTTGATTGTTCTAAGAGAACACAGTTCGAATGACAACCAAATTCTAAGAACTCATGTTGATGCTCGTTTCCACGGTGGTGCGTCACGGTTTATCAATCATTCATGCAACCCTAATCTGGTAATGGTACCAGTGAGAGTTGATTCCATTGTTCCACAACTGGCTCTCTTTGCAGCTAGAAATATAGACATTGGAGAGGAACTCTCCTTTGACTATTCAGGGGAATTTGATCACTGGCACTCACATGAAATAAAAGTTGAAGTGCATGAATTGAAATCTCTACAAGAACAAGGTAAGGAGCCAAAAAGTTGTCAATGTGGTGCACTGAACTGCAGAGGTTATCTTCCCTTTGATTCTTCTCTGTATTCCTCTGAAAGCCACCTGCCAATCAGACCAGGGAATAGCTAACTGAAGGCAGGCACATGGGAAGATTGGAATCAATAAACCTCTACAGCTGGTAAGCTTCAGTTACCAAACTGGATAAGTCAATGAAGAAAGAATGGAGAAATTCTGTCAGACTGAGTGATGTACAAAAAAAATTAGTTGAGTTACTGTAAGTGACTATTGCCCTACTGATTGCAAATAAATCAAACATGTTGCAAACTTTTCTTTTTTTTCTTTGAAAAAGTAGAGAATTTATTTGAAAGCTAGGCTTCAAAAACTCCCATAAAAGTAAACCTTTTTTCATAGAATGAATATAACAACAAGTCACAAGGGGAGAATAATAATGAAGAATTATAGAGATGTCTTTTAATGCTGTACAAATAGGCCCATGATTATGTTGCACAGAATTGGATCTTATATCATTGCTGCAGCTCTACTATAAGGAACCAGGAACCAAAAATTAATTAATTGAGCCTAAGTACGCTGAAATTTTCTTGATGTGTTGTTTATTTATTTATTTATTTTTTTATAACGAAAGACAATCACTAAAACTCTGCTAGTTTGGTTGGTTCTTATTTGCTCGAGTAAAATTTTTGCTAGATATACAGTGCTGATGACGTTTCAGACATTCTGTGATTGGTCCAGGAAACTCGCGCCAACCTCTCGACCAATCAGACGCAAAACCAAAACTAATCGCACTTGCGTCACTCGCGTTTCCCGCGCGTCAGGCATTTTTTTTGTTTTTCCTTTGCGTTCTCCAGGGCCCCTTGTGGTAGTTTCTTTTTTCTGTTCGACTGTGGTGATCACTTTGAGTTGGTTTCACGACACCTAATGGAAATGCACTCTAACCAGTGAGCCTTTCACTTTGTGTCATTTTCTCCTTTCCATATATATTCAGCCTTTTATCTGTGAGTGAAAAGAATTGAGAAAAAAAGAATAAGCTTAGCTCTACGATTTTCTTATTGAAGTACATGAACTTCTAAAATTCAGTGGGGTTAATTGTCAGTTAGAAACTTTCTGGAACTTGCGGGAGAAATGTTTATATTTCCTAAATCAAAAGTGATTTTTCGACTGAGAAAATAATCAGACAAGTTTTTTCCGCGTATTTTGAAACAGGATAGAAAGATTTTATTCATTTTCTTGGGAGCGGGGGACAGAAAATAACAGCAAAAAAGGGTTTGTCTCTCTGGAGAGAAATTTAATCCCAGGCCTCTGGATCTCGTGAGCGTAATTTCGTGATTCGATGCTCCACAACTGAGCTTTATAGAATTCGATACTGAGTCAGGCTTTTACTTTGTATGTGGTAAGCTTTAAAACAGCTTGATAAATCTGCAATTGCAACTCCATGCGGTCGACGAAGTCCTAGATTGTCTCATACTGGTTGTTAAAGCCATCAGCTTTGGCAATATCGACAAAAGAAGATGAGTTCTCCTTGAAAAGGCAGTACATTGAAAACACAAATTAAGGATTGTTCACAAGCTATAATTAGACGATATTTGATAGGGTAAAACTGCAATTCAACTCACCAGGCGACTCTGTTTTACAGTAGCCACAGGAATAGGGACACCACTTTTTCATGAACGACTTCCAATGTTGGCAATATCCATCGTAAGATGCGAAATATTTACATCTGTTTTGATAGACATCAAGGCATTTACCTGGAAGAGAAATGACCCGTCAACTCTCTTTCTTATAAGAGGGCATTTTATTTCAGTGTTGTAAAATTAAAACCACAACTTATCCTTACGGCCAATCAGAACAAAGGAAAATATCGGAAGAAACCAATGAGAACACGGAGTAAAACAAGTAAACCGCCTGAAGCGCGGGAAAACGCGGTTGATGAAATGTCTAAGACCTAATTTTGTTTGGTTGAGAGGGTGAAGCGTGTTTCTTGAGCCAATCAGAGAGCAAAGTTAAAATAAAACCAACGGAATCCAAGGTTACTCTGTATACTCAATTGAACCGAATATTTCATACAGGGGACAGCAAACATTGTAATTTCCGTTGGATCCGTCCCACTACGACTGTTTATTTTACAAATTAGCAAACAATATACAGATTAACTTTTGGTACATTATAATTTTTCTTTTTTTGCGGCAAAGATGAGTCGGATAGCTGACAGAGAGGAGAGTTAGCTCGTGTAGTGCAGTTAAACCCTGTCGGACGGTATATTAAAAAAACGCTCCTACTCTCTGGTGAACTCTCCTTTTTCTTGTCTTTTGGTTTCTTATCCCAAGCCTTGCAGGGGTAACTCTTTAACAGCTGTTTTATGTCAATTTTGCGAAAATCATCCATATTCCCCAAGGATCTGTTGGGATCCGCTAAAGACTCCAGTGTGTTTTGGCCGTTCTTGCTGAAAGCTTGGTTATCGTAGTGCATAAGACTGTCGAAGTCGTACGGTTCTCCGACACTGTCAAGTCGTTCAGGGCCGTAACTTTCGAAATTCTTTTCGAATCCTTCGAGAAATGAAACCCACACATCATTAGAATTTAACAGATGGATGCCGACGCCAGGGAATCTGGACAAGCAACCTATCTGGCTGTCACAACGTATCCACTTGGTCTTTAAAATTCCAGTTAATACCCTCCCCTTCACCCCAAGTATTTTCATTAAGATACCCCCATAAATAAATAAGTAAATAATGCTTAAGGTGTCAAATGTCAGATTATTGCTGTATGTTAACCGTTTCACAGTCTATATTCCAGTTCT